TTATAAGTAGGAACCAAACGTTTAGCATTTCCAGATCCCTTTACAATTTTGTTTATTTTCATCTAGCTAACCTTTGCCAGATTCTATCTCCCTAACTGGGTCCCTAATGCAGAAAAAGTCATTTATTTGGATGACGATGTGATTGTACAAGGTATGGAAACTTTTCCTCTGGAAGTACCTTAGACATAAAAATTTGTCTTTTTACAATTAATTGATTTTGTGTGGAAATGAAATAATGTTGATTTGCCTTTAAGAAGTATTAAGAACTCCTGTAACTTGTACTGATAGTAGAATTATCGTTCTATCACAAGTACTCTTAATACTTAAACCAGCAAACAGCTTAGAAGGCTGGCCTTCCAGGTTGACTAAACTATAGTTTGGTGCTTTGTGCACAAACAGTGAAGTCAGTAGGTTCATGCTGTCCCCTTTCTTCATCCTGCACAACCAGGAGAAGAAATAAACTAGGATTCTCTTTTGCCTTAATCTGTTCTTGCTTTGCCATTTAATGCAAAGCAAGAACTTCAGGTTAAAAGAAACTGAATACAGCCCATTTAAAGAACAAACCAACTTCATACTTGGGGTTATGAAAATGCTTTGTTTAACAAGCTAGAATTTGTTTTAAAACTTAATTCTTGGTTCAAAACACAATGACTGCTGAGCCTTCAAAGCTTTCGATGGTTCCTTTCTATTAGTGCAGGTCATACTAACTTGTGCTTTAATGTTCAGTGCAGATGCAATCAATATGTTGTCAAATTGCTGCTAAATTTGAATTTTTATACTTTTTAATGCTATTACCACACACTTACAATTTTTCGTTATTGTGTATGTATAAAGTTGTGTTTTGAATTAAATTAAGTTATTGGAGGCAAGATTATGGTTAGATAACAAAGAGGTACTGCACCAGAACCAGGGTTTGTCTCAGCGGATCAGATTCTTGACATTGTTTGTTAAAGAGTATATGCCACAAACAGCATTGGAAATATTCTTCCATTACAAACTAGTTGGCTGAACGGCATAAAAAGTCCATATTCAATAAATACTTGTCTTGAACTTCCTGAGACAGGTGGAACTAGTCTGATCTTCAGTTTTGTTGTTTATCTTAGTGAGCAGATTTGAGCAGAAACAACTTAATACGTATGTGAACATCTGAGTACTGGAGAAAGTTGTGCAAGAAATGTCTCCTAAAAGGGCATTGTCAGGACATGGGCTTTTATTTGCTTTGACTCTGACTTTTTCTTTGCTTCACTGACAATTTCAGATGATATCCTTGAGCTTTACAACACTCCACTTCAGCAGGGCCACGCAGCTGCATTCTCGGATGACTGTGACTCTACCTCGAATAAATTTGCCATCCGGGGAGCAGGAAACCAGGTGCAAACAGTTTGAAAAGGGGAACATGAATGCTGCATGCTCAAATGTTTAGATGTTGCCTCCACTTCTGTGGTTGCATTCATGACTTCAGAGTTTCACAGGAGGATTTTATGGTGGAGCATTTTTTATTTAAGCTGGATTCTAGGACTGAGACATTGACTTTCTGTTGGTATGCTTTATAACACTGCTACATACTACTCAGGAGCCTAAATAATTTTATTGAACTTCTGAAAGCTAACTTGTGGCAAGGAAAGGCCACAATATGTATGGGAAACTTTGATTTTGTACTGCATGTTCTGGGGAGGGCCATTTTCATCTAGTTGACAATGAGAGGGAGCTAAGGACCGACTGTTGGGAGGAGTGGTATAGTAGCTGAGAGGAAGGATTAAAACTCTAGAATGTTCCCAAGGCGCAGAAGCATCATGTGTGTGGATCACTGAAACCAGAAAGAAGAAGTCTAACTTCTAACTTGCTTTCTAGGATGTATATGCTGAATAGCAAAGCAGCTTTACTCTCTTTTTAAAATTTGGATTCAGGACCTGCCTTTTGAGTTTTTCTCATTTTCAGAGAGATTTCCTTCATTGTGTAACTACGAGTATTCAGCCTATTCAACAGTCCCCACTACCCTCTTCTGTCTCCCTTTTTTTGGAAGACTTCTACCTGCCCCAGTTGTACATAATGTGAATCCAGCACTTTAGTCAAGTAGACTGTGGCTGAAATCCTGTTGCACAGTTACTGAATTGGTGTAGCTTTTAGATACAAATTGCTGTCAGTGAAGAAATCTCCAAAGAAAGTATCTGTTAGCTACTGAGTTGTGTGACATGGCATGCAACAGATCATGTCCACAGAGATTTTTTTTAACTTATGGCAACTCATATTTAAAAGTTGTTCCATTTGCATAATTGCGCAACAGGATTTCAGCCTATGGGACATGAGTCTATAAGCAAAGTATTAAGTATAAAGGAGTTAAGTGCCTCTTTTAATTGAGCTATCTTGTCTCGATGCAGTTATCAAAGCTACCTGCAAAATAATAGCTTCTTTCAAACTCAGCCAAATAACATCTCATTTAGTGATAACAATTTGGTTTAGAAAGTTGAGATGCATGTCTTTTGCAGGGGATATATTTGTGGTTGGAACTCAATTTTAAAAGAAATTTCTATTTATTTTCTAGTATAATTACATTGGGTATCTTGATTATAAAAAAGAAGCAATCCGGAAACTGTCCATGAAAGCAAGCACTTGCTCTTTCAATCCAGGTGTCTTTGTTGCGAATCTAACAGAATGGAAATTACAGAATATCACTAAGCAGCTGGAGAACTGGATGACACTTAATGTCGTGTGAGTATGTTCAGATTTGAGCTGAACACTGATAGCTAGAGACTGAGGCTAATAGGAGTTTCCTGGGAGTGAGGGTCAATGAATGACCAAAATTATTGTTCCATTCTTTCTGCTGAGCTGCTTGTAATCTTTTGATTATCCTTGATCTCTAGACAACTTGTCTTTGCCAAAAAAACTCATGCCTTGCATTAAGGACATGGAACTAATGCCACTTTCTGCACCAACCTCAAGCCCCTAATCCTTCTAATCTGAATAATTTTATTAAAAGTGGAAGCAGAGTTTTCTGTTCCTCCCCAAGTATTTATTTTTCTATTGAAAATGTTGTCTACATTAATGAGGCTCCTTGTTTACAGCTGGTTAATTTTTCTCTCTCTCTCACTAGGGAGGGAATATACAGTCGGACTCTTGCAGGCAGCATTACTGCACCTCCGCTGCTCATTGTATTTTATAAACGACATTCAAATATTGATCCAATGTGGAATGTGCGCCACCTTGGTAAGTATGAAGGAAATAATCTTGACGCTAATTGCACTTTCCCTACACTGAACCTAGTACAATTGACACTGAGGTGACTGGGACTGTAGTCCTTTTTCTGCTTCTGCTCTCATTTTGAGAGATCTTGTAGCAGAGCGATTCATTTACTTCTTGGGTGGGGGGGTCTTCTGTCTCTTTCACACATTACAAAATGTCACCCTGATACAAAATGGTACGCTTCAGGCTATGTGCCTAGCGACTGTGACTTGTGAACTTCTAATACAACTCGGGTGTACTATAGAAAATGACTCATTAACCATTGTTATTCACTTCAAAGGTTCAAGTGCAGGCAAAAGATACTCACCACAGTTTGTGAAAGCTGCCAAACTACTCCACTGGAATGGGCATTTCAAACCCTGGGGCAGGACAGCATCTTATGCTGATGTCTGGGAAAAATGGTACATTCCTGACCCAACCGGCAAATTCAACTTGGTTCGGAGGCATACTGATATGTATGAAGCAAAATAAGGTGGATTTGATGCTTTTGCATTTTCTCAGGACATTTACCAAAGTGCAGCACAGTCTGGAATTCACCAAGCAAAGAAGCACGTACTTGAAAGGTGCACGCTTATGTGAGGCATCTCCTTGTCTTCCAATCTAAGGAGCACATGAGATCCTCTTATGAACTAGTATTTTGGATTATATGGATTCTTCAAGGCTAACTTTCTGGAATATATCCCGCCTTTAGCATGGTGATGGCCACACCTCTTGCACAGGAACCCGTGTTTCTTAAAAGCTGCTGTTCTTCCTTTTGCTTAACCTGCAAGTACAAGTTTTTGTGCTAGACCTTTCCTTCTCCTGAAAGATTTATTCAGTTTCTTACAGCAGTGGACTTCATCTGGGTCTTCTAAAAACCATTGAGTAAACTGTTTCAAGAAACTATCAACACTAAAGCAACTACTTTCTATAAAATCGTGAAACTAATCAAGCTTCTAATGAATTGGTTGTATATATGCAATCCTTTTGTTATTTTGTGAACAGTGTTGTATTTTATAAGCTGGTTCAAGCTATTGTCTGCTCAAAGTGGAGATTTAAAAAATGTAAAGGGCTTGGGGAAATTGCAAGGCGTGGTCCATGACACTTTAGCTGCCAAGACTTAATGCTGATGGCTGTCCTGTATAGCAGAAGCAAGGAATCCCAGGCCTGGAGATCAGATTTGTCCCACCTGGAATCCTACCTGTTTGCTGCTAGAGTGAAAGTATATTGCAGGGGTGAGGGAACTTTTTAACCTTTTACCCCCCCAAAAAATGTATATACACCGACATTACCCCCTTAATTTGAAAGGAAGGAAATCATACATTCTTTGAATTCAAAATCTTATTGAATCTATTCAAAATTACTTTGAAAGCTTCAACTTACTTGAAAACTTCAGGTTTTGGAGAAATGATGTTGCTTCATATTGGATATGAGAGCATCAATATTGGGGCTCTGCTCATCCTCATTACCCCCAGGATTTTCATTTTTACCCCATTTGGGGTAATTTACCCCTGTTCCCTGACCACTGGTATATTGGAAAGACTATTGGGCAGAATTTTCCCCACCCTTCTTTTAAAGCTCAAAAATTCTCTACCGCAACTGCCAGTGTGTGGTGAGAAAACTTGGGAGGCTCCCGCTGGAAGTCAAAAGGCAGGACTGTCTATCGGAAGTGAGGGAACATAGTGCTATGCCCAGTCTTGAACCTGTCCACCATTTTGTGGGCAGCTTTCTCACTTACAGTCAGAGCTCTGTTAAAAAAAGGGGGTCCAAAGGAATCAGATGAGTCTGTTAAGCCAGTGGTCCCCAACCTTGGGCCTCCAGATGTTCTTGGACTACAACTCCCAGAAGCCTTCACCATCAACTGTTCTGGCCAGGATTTCTGGGAGTTGAAGTCCAAGAACATCTGGAGGCCCAAGGTTGGGGACCACTGTGTTAAGCCACAAGGTCCTAATGCAATTCCACAAGGCATGATAAACCACTTCTGCATCCTCTATAGCTGACAAATCCTGGAAAGGTCACCGTAAACTTCACAGAACATAATAATTAAGATGGCAGTCCTAGAGACAGTTATCTAGAAGTAAGATGTATTTAATTCAATGAGACCAAGTTCTCAGAACCATGTCTTAAACATACAGACCTTGTCTTAAACATACAGCTGGACATGAAATAAAGTGGAAGGCAGGCAATCAAAGTAATTATCCTGTTCAAGCCCTCAATAGTGTCTGGTGTGTGTGTGTGTGTGTGTGTAAAAATATATATTTTTACACTGCAGGGTAAATGATGTTACTTGCCTTTCAGAGGAACATCTCAAGACAGGAGAAAGCAAAAAATAAAATGCACCAACCCCCATATTTTAACACTTTAGGATGATATAGCAAAGCAAGAGTTATGGGGAGTATAAAATGTCCTTTATTCCTTCCTGCCTGCACCTAGCTACAGCAGTCCTGTTCCAAGCTAGCTGAAGCCCTATAATGAGAAGTCTATTTTGGGAGACACAATTTTTTATTGTAGTGGCCCCTTATTCATACATTATCTCCAGTCTTCTGCATGTTTTTCTTATACACTTGTTCACACAGGTCTGCTCAGCACTGTTTTGGTTGTACTTTTCCCCCCAAATAAATACGTATTTCAATAAATAATAAATACTGTGCAGCTATTCCTCTCCAGAAAGTGGCCTGAGAAAGGTTAGTCTCAGGCTTATCTAGGGCTGTTGTTGGCAGTGTGGAAGCCCCTGGTCTAAAGACCAGCGCGGGCTCTGTTTAACCCACTGGTGTGGATTCATAGAGGCCATGTTGAAGAATCAACTGTTTATGCTTTTTATTACATGCAAGATTTATACAAGGATTTTGAACTACACGGGTTCAGCACCCCTAATCTCAGCATTGTTGAAGTGCGCAAAGGATATGTGTTACACCAGTTAAATATTAAGCATGCCATTTGAAAATGAAAGTATTATTTTAGCAGCAGAGTGTAGCTGTCACTGAACAGCATCTTTGAGCACTATGTGGCCTTCAATTGTCCTCAGACATCTGAGTACATTAAATTTTCTCATTATTTTATTCCATATCCATACTGGGCAGGAAAACTGTTGGCTGAGGCAGAATAGAGAAACTTGGGGAGGTTTATGGACAGCATCCAGCTATTACAAAAAGAAATTGTGTAACTTCTTCAGAGTGAAATTATCAGCTCTTACTCCCTTTGTACACTATATCGTTTATGTTGCACTTAGTAGTTTGCTGAGGCCTAAACATATTTGTGAGTCTATCTACTGTTGCCAAACTCTGCAGTCTAAAAAGACAGGGCATCTTCTGGAAGTACAGATGACAGACAAGGTTATTAAGATACATTTTGGTCTGCTTTTACTAATTTTTATAATTCTCCAAATGCTACTAGTGAGATTTGAACTCCAAATGCTCCTGGTACCTTCCCGAGCATTCTAAAGCACACAAGAAGGATCGGTGGTGGACTAGAGATTATCACCACCATCATTCTGCCAGGAAGAACACCATTCACCCATAAACTGGATAGAAACATTCCTTCTATTGATGGAAGGCTTCTACTGGATCTAACACAAGTGTGGTCAAATCAATGTTCTGACTGTATCTCTTTAAGCAACACAGGCAATGATCACCCACAGTGGTGCCCAACTTGACGATGACCCCGCTTGACGAAATCGCTTTACTATGCCTTTTTTGCAATCGCTATAGCAATCGTAAAACGATGGTTCCAATGGGCGATTTTCGTTTAACAATTTGGTCCCTGCTTCGGGAACCGTTTTTTTGCTTGACAATGATTAAAAACAGCTGATCGGCGGTTCGCAAAATGGCTCCCCGCTGTTTTCAGGACCGATTACTCGCAAGACAGAGATCGAAAATGGCCGCCCTATGGAGTATCTTCGCTGGACAATGGAGGTAGTTCCCCCACTGGAACACACTGACTGGTTTACAATGCATTCCAATGGGTTTTTTCGCTTAACGACAATTTCGCTGGAATGCATTATCATCAAGCGGGGCACCACTGTATTTGATTTAAACAGACTATGCATTTTTCATTTACTCTTCGTTTGTGGCACACATATTTGCTTGTAACCCAACTAGAAGAATACTAAAAGGCAGATTCTGAATTGTCTCATTATTTTATATCAGTGGAAAACCCTTGTGAAAATTGTCGTGACTTATTTTAATTCATTTCACAGAACAGATGCAAATAGAAGCCAGAGATAAAACTTAATTTACTGAATGCAATTCACAACGTTGAAATGTAATGTAATTCAACCAGCTCTACTGAATTATTTAGCACTATATACAATATTTACATGGATCTGCTCTTCAGCAAATACAGAAAACACTGTTGGAATGTGATGGCTCCAAAAAGTCTTGGTGTTAAGTTCCAGAAAGCTAAAAAGCACTCAAATCCTTTTAACATCCTCTTCACATATAATCTGTATTGAAGTCATATGCATCATCCAGGTCTCTAGGCTTGTCTAGGTCATGTTGTTTGCCTAGGGGGAAAAGTGAAGAAAATTGCATCAACTGAAACCAACAGCATCTTTTAATTAACAAGACAGAATAAATCTTAGAAAATTCATTAGTTTTCATATGCACCTGTAGGTATCACCCCGGAGTTTGCATTCTTTGGCTCTTTAGATTCTATTTTATTGCTCAATATTTTGCTGTTCTCCTGAAACAAAGGGAGAAAGAACAAAAATTCAGTATGTCAACATTGTACTAATTTGTAAGCATGGGGAGCTACAGGTTTCTATTTTAAATTATTTTTGCACACACAAACCCCCCATGAAGTAAGCAACCATTGTTTTTTTAAAAAGGCCTCAAAAGATGAGAGTAACTTGAGTGTACACTCTAGTAATAATCCATGAGGTGAGAGCGACACAAGTTCAAAACGCCTCCCTCTACCGAGGATCCATAGAATGGGATCTCGAATTAGCCAATGCTCAAGTATCTTAACCTCTTCTACATCTTCAATGTCACTTTCTATTTCATCATCTTCATCTTCAGTTAAGTCCTCCTCATCTTCACTTGTTTCCATGTCCTCTTTTTCCACTACTTCCTCTGGTAGTTCCTTATCTTCTATTACACCATCCGTGAAACCAGGAGACTGGAAGACAATGCTGCTTGGCTGATTGGGGTATTTGAGGGCTGTAAAAACAGATTAAATATGTGGGCAGAAACATTTACAGCACTTTCTCAGGAAAAATATTCTGTGTAACTAGACAAAGAATAGTTTTACAGCTGAAATAAAATATGTGGAAAGATCATATCTGTTTCCAGCATTTCACTGGAAAAAAAACTGAAAAAAATTAAGCATTAATGGCTCATACCCAGTTTTGTTAGCGGTGTGGAAACATTCAAGTATATGTATGCAGTTCTGCTTGGAATCCTCCAAAAAGAAAAAAGGGACTTTACTGACTCCCCACCACAACCCTTGTCATCACTTTCAAGGGTTTTCCCTATCCTTTGGAAGATACTTAGGGAGGAGAGCAGTGGATGACTGAGAAGATAGGGAACAGAACGTGTTCCCTGTTCTAGCAGCAATCAGGATCACAACTGGATCAGTACGCTGATGACACCCAGCTCTACATCTCCTTTTTTCCAACAACAGTGGATGCCGTTCTGTCCCTTCAGCGCTGCCTGGAGGCTGTACTGCAAAGGATGCAGGAGAATGGACTGAGGCTGAATCCAGACAAGACAGGGGTCCTGAAAGTGGGTGATCCCACCATCAGTGGTTTGGGAAACCCCCTCTCTTTTGGGGGAGTGACTCTCACTGCGAAGTGAGGTTTGCCACTTGGGGGTCCATCTGGATCTGGTGCTCACCACAGAAACCCCGGTAGCATCAGTGGTCTGCTCCACCTATTTCCATTTCTGGTGGACTGCCCAGCTGCATCCCTATCTTGATGTTGGGACACTCACCACTCTGGTCCATGTGCTTGTAATCTCGAGATTAAACTACTGTAATGCACTCTACATGGAGCTACCTTTGAGACTGATGCAGAAGCTTCAAATGGTGCAGCATGCGGTGGCTAGACTTCTCACTGGGGTAAGAAAATATTAGCATATTTTCCCCACTATGGCTACCTTGCATTGGCTGCCCGTTCGTTTCCACATTGATTTCAAGGAGTTAATGATGACATATAAAGCCCTAAATGGTTTAGGACTTCAATATCTAGAGGAACGCCTCCTCCCACCTAGATCTACCCAAATCACTCCTTCTAGCCAAAATTGGTGGCTGAGGAGTCTAACGCCAAGGGAGGCGCAAATAGAAAGAACAAGAAAACAGGCCTTCTCGGCAGTGGCCCCTCGCCTTTGGAATAGTCTGCCCGCAGAGATCTGTCTGGATCCCTCACTGGGTGTTTTTAGGAGCAAACTTAAGATCTGGCTCTTTAGGCAGGCTCTTCCTCCTGTCATCACCTGTTTACTTTTGCCATCTTTAATATAATATATTCATGAAGGCTTTCCCGGCCGGGATCTAATGGTTGTTGTGGGTTTTTCGGGCTCTTTGGCCGTGTTCTGAAGGTTGTTCTTCCTAAGTGCTGTCCTCTGAAGATGCTGGCAACAGAGACTGGCGAAACGTTAGGAAGAACAACCTTCAGAACATGGCTAAAGAGTCCGAAAAACCCACAATAACCAAATAAAAATAAGTTAAAAAATAAAATCAATCCAAAGCTGTTCTGTTCACAGCTGGAAAACATTAGACCCAGATCCTTATGATCACAGCATTTTTAGAAGCAATGGTAAAATCACAACAAATATTCCCACAGTATTTTAAATACTAGCACTTAAGGATTGATACATCAGTCTCACCTTTCATTGTACTTTTGTTATCTTCTTCTAATTCCTGAAAATTAAAATCCGCTTTTGCTGCTGCTACAATTTCATTGGAAAGGTGTGACGACAGGTTCCATGTCGCAGGGGGTCGTGAGTAGTAACTAATTCTGGCACTAGGAGAAAAATACACAGCACTGTTTACAAAAGACCTTAATTTTTCTTCTCAGGTACTCAAAACTGTCCCTCTTTGTATTTTTCATATGAGTAAAACCAGGGCTTGAAAATGTTTTAGAATGTCTCACCAGTCAGTCAATAATTTTACCAGTCAGCATGACTATAGCCTTGCAATTTACAAATCGTTGTCTTGCGAACAAACGGTTCGCGAAGCACGGACCAAATCGTCGTCAAGCAAAAATCCCCCATTGGAATGACTGTTTTGCGAATCACTATAGCGATAGCAAAGTCATTGTTACGCGGATTCGTCATTTAGCGGGGTCGTCATCTTGTGAGGTACCACTGTATGTTTAAACTTTAATTTAAACTAGGCACTTTCTACATAATAATATGTACAAACCCAAAATAAATATACCCTCAGACTTGGGTCGCTGTAATACCAGCGTACCTGTGGGCTCATGAAGCTTGTACAGTATTTTTAATGCCTTTCTTTTGAATGTCTCCAGCAAAAATAAAATTGAAAGCAAAAGCGCACAGCCTCTTAAGGAGCCAGGTCGTTGGACTGAAATTGGGAGCAGGGAATCTCCATATTCTCCAGCATGGGACTACTCTACATTCTCCTGCAGAGCTATATATCTATGTGCTGCTCGAACTCCATAGAACAGTGGTCCCCAACCTTGGGCCTCCAGATGTTCTTGGACTACAACTCCCAGAAGCCTTCACCACCAGCTCTGCTGGCCAGGATTTCTGGAAGTCCAAGAACATCTGGAGGCCCAAGGTTGGGGACCACTGCCATAGAAGAGGGCTGTTTTTCCTTTTACAATGGAAAGAGGGAGGGGAGGACTGCATGATCAGAGAGAAAGAGGGTGTGTGTGTGTGTGTGTAAGGAGGCGAGGAGGGAGGGAGCTGTGGCTTGTCAAGCAGGGGTTTTTTTACTCGCCACAGACGAGTAGACAAGTGGAATTTTCAAGCCCTGGGTAAAAATTTAAAGGAGAATTAAATTGTCTTCAGAGAGTGTTGGGACAAAGTCCAATGTCAATTCTTGCTTGCACCCAACTCACTGATGGGCTAGATCCAGAGGTGCAGTCTAGGCCACCTCAACACCAAGTCACAGGAATCTCTAATAAAACCCAAGGCAATCCAGCAGGCCCAGTATCAAAAGGATCTCCAGATAGACTGGCAGTATAGGGAAATCTATACCACAGTCCAGCAACAGTTTGTACAGTGTGGAAAACCGACAAGCATATGCCCACTTGCCACAAGCTATGGGCCTTTGTTACGATGTTGTCCACCCCAATAAGAATGTGCTTGCTGATCAGAAAAACCTTGAGGTGATGGGAAGGCAGGTTAACTACCCTCAACTCCAGCCAACTGATGCCATATTTGCACTTGTCTGAGGTCCAAGGTGCCTGTTATGTGTGCAACAGGGCAGTGACTCCCCACTTGGTCTGACAGAACAAAGACTCTGTGAGGGTCCCTTTGCGTCATTTGGAAAAAGAGGTCCACCAGAAGCGGGAGTATAAAACACTAAGTTAGATGGCAGGCATGTGAACCACTGTAGGAGATAACAATGAAAGCCCACACAGGATAGTCTATGAATGCAAGAAATCACAAGATACAGTCAGGAGACAAGAAACATGAGGTCCACAGTCCTGTCATTTCAGACTGACCTGGATTATAATTAGATCTTTTTTTCCACCCTGAGAAAAGGTTAGATTTTTCATGGAGTTTATGAGCACTCCTAAACAGAGTGTATGCCTGGAAGATGTCAGACAGCTTTCAGACCTGTTGTTAAAGAAGCCATGTGCAGCCAGGGTAAAGAGACTGTTGCCATCACAGCATTTATATTCTTGTGACTGTCCCAGAACCTGGCAGGCAGGCTACAGCTAACACACAAGCAAACAGCCACGTGTTCAGGGAAAATCCGGAGCTCAATACACTTGATTTGCAGATGTAATGCTTAATCCAGGGTGGGGAACTGAAGGCCATGAGACAAAATTCAATCCACTGGGACACTGGTGTGGCTTTCTCCAATTCCCCAGAAGACTGCACTTTCTTCTCTGTCACACTATCCTTTGGTAGGCTTTCAAGCCTTTGTACAGGTTGTTTCTGCATCCTAAAAAGGCAGGCATGCCTCTCCTAAAATGGAGTTATTGGAAGCAAGAGCTTTAAGATAAAATAAGTTATTTTTGGTCTCATTCCTTTGACTTTCTGCTCACCACTACAATTGCACCCACATACACATACCCTAAATCCTATGAAACTAGATCTGGCCCTCACATCAACAATGGATAAATACCCAGGGAGCAGACAATACAAAAGGCTTTTCTCTGCCTGAGGTCTCAGAAGTGCTGCTAGACACAGGGACAAACACTCGGGATCAGGACAAGGCAGTTTCATATGCTTAATTCAGTACGACCATGAAATCCGCTCAACTGTTTTACAGAAATAAAACTGCACCCTTCCCCTCTGCCTCTTTTACACTTTAGGTACCAAATATCATTGATTTGACTTCTATATTCCTTCAGGCATAAATAATATCGATCTCTGAGGAGAAAATATGACTCTGGCAAAAGAGTTTAGTTCATTTCTGGCAAATGATAAATAAAATGAAAGAGTATTTACCCTGTCCAGTCATAGAGAAATAATTTAGCTGCACCCTCTGTGTCAGGAAGGCCTCCTTTTTTCAGCATTCCTCTTTTCTGAGCAAGTAGTGTTAAAAACTCTAAGGAAGTTCTGTAGTCTGGGATGTTATAGTGCAGCATTATCTGAAATGAAAAAGCAGGCCCCCTCAAAAATGAGTATCTGATTCCCCAACATCCTCTTATATGATTCAGTTGTTTCTTGGGCCTGACCCCAGAAGGCCAGCGTACCCTGGCTTCAGTTTATATATATGGGCCATTCACATCAAGGTGCGATGGAAAGCCAAAACCTGATCAGAACTCCTATGGAAACACCATTAAGCAGCAGCAAGATCAGAGTTGGATCTGATGTCTTCATGTAACAGTAAGACATAGCAAATATCCTCATTTCTTACTCTGCTCATTCAATAGGAAATATGGGTCCATCCAGGTAAATGTCAGGACAGAAGGCATTTCATCAGAGCAGCCTGAAGAGTCAGATTTTATTCCTGGGACATGACAGGCTAATATGGATGAATCTAGCTGGGTGGACTATACCACACACTTAAGCATGGCATAGTAGTATATTGCTCAGACCTCATGCTATGGCTAATCCACCAGGTCAGAAAACAAATGTAGCACACCACAGGCTAAAGAAGGGTGATAAAACTTTACCTGCTGTTTGCTGCAATGCTTCAGAATAGCATCGACTGATTCAGTTGCATTTTCAGCTTCAAAATCTGTAGGACTTCTCAGTGCCAGAGCAAGAGCTGAGCTGGAAGGCGCTGCAACAACACATGGACTATCTAACATCTTGATGTGTTTGTCAATGTGAACTGTTTGAATACACCTTTACAAGAAAACAATGAAAAGGAAGTTTGAACAAACCAATCACCAGGAAGGACTTGATCAGCAACTATAGCATAAAGGAATCAAGTGTCAGGGCTGTAAGTGGAGATCACTAGGATATTAAATGCAGTACTTCACAGAGAGTATAAATCTAAAACCATGTCAGGTAGTTAAGCTGGAACAAGCAAGATTTATTCTCCATCATGTCACAGATTTACTTTTGATCAAAAACCTTTGATCTGTTCCTGAACTAAGAGCCCAAACAGTAAACAGCTATTTCACATGTTCCTTGATACAATTCAATTTGAGGGAATCACAGAATACAATTGCAATAAGAAAAAAATTTATAATACCTCTCTGTACTGGAATCATACATTTTACCAGTAAAAGGCACAGCACACATGCTCCACACCCTCATGTACAGTAGCTCTAGACGTTCCTCTCGTCTTTGTATTTAGAACTACAGTACTGTACACAAGGGTGGGGAAACATAGGTGGAATAGCAAGAAGTAAAATCTATTACAGTGGTGCCTCGCATTATGAGCACTCCATTTGACGATGAAATCGCATCACAACGAAGATTCGATGTTCCTTATGGGGGAATTTCGCTTTGCAATGATCAGTCCCATTTCACTAACCGATTATCGCAAAGCGATGATTTTCGGCCAGCTGATTGCCGGTTTCAAAATGGCCACCGGGTGAAAAACATGGCCGCCCGCTGTTTTCTGGCACAGATTCCTCGCTGCATGGGCAGCGAAAATGGCCATGCTATGGAGAATCTTCACTGGACGGCGAGTTCTAAGCCCCTAGGAACGCATTAATTGGGGTTTAATGCCTTTCTATGGGCTTTTCAAAATTGCATGACGTTTTTGTTCGACAGCGATTTTTTTGGAATGAATTAACGTCGTCATGCGAGGCACCACTGTACTTTAAAAAGCAGACTAACCTGGTAAGGCCTCTTACTGGTCCCACATTGCAGGCACGCACCTCCTTCAGACTATTGATTATACTGCTTTTCCCCACATTAGGAAAACCTGAGGTGCACAAATGAAAGACAGTCAAGATGAATCAGTTGAACCTAATATCTTGCACTATGTCTGAGGTATACAAAATAACTACTATTCTGTGCAGGAGAATGTTTAAGATCCCATTTTGTCCCAAGTTTCCATTCACACCTCAAAGTAGAAATGGAGTTCTCAAGCTCCCCTAGATTCCTGGAAGATCACATACTCTGTGGAAGATTATGACTCAACTTCTATTTCCGCTTCCTTTTCTTTGCTTGCCTCTTGCCATGTTATAGGGACAAAGTATAGACATCACATAAGGAAACACCTGTACATTCACTGCTGTTTTCAAATTTTTGGCAATATCTTATTCTCCAAATATATTTGGTGCACATGGGGGATCTGACCTTTTTTAAGCTGCTGCTAGGAGTGAGATCAGAGTTGGATCTGAAGTCTTCATAGTAACAGTAAGACCAAAACATAGCATCCTCATTTCTCACTCTAGTATTACAAAAGAACTTATATTGCGATGACCATAATGTAGAAGACTGTGCAATGTGTTTTCTTGACTTTGCAGGTACTGAAGTACCTACATTTCCAGCAGTCCCATGAAAAATCTGCAACTGGTGTGGGGCATTCTGATTTCAAAGATATTATTAATATCACACAACTAATGAAACAGATACACTGCTCACAGATGTATAATTTTGTCAACTGTGTACAAGACCAGAATACACTTACCTACTACACCAACCTGTAGAGCTTTATCTTTAGTCAAACTATGCTCTTGAAGGAGTTTTAGGAGGCACTCACTCCCAAAGCACAAGCTTGCTCTGGATAATTCAATATAAGCACTACGTCGTTTAGTGTTTTTTTTCTCTTGCTGTAAAAGTAAATAAAGACTTAAAAGGGATCAGAAGCAATGCCAATTTCAGCTATATACCTTCACATCAGTAGCACTGTAACTGCAACGTACAGCTCAGTTGGATGAAACCTGAGAACCATCTCGCTGAAAAGGCTGTTCATGCCATATGAACCAGTCGCCTACGAGAAGTCTGCCAGCACGCCATGACTACAAGTACACACTATGACTACAATTAGACACTATTATATGAAGACACTCTGCCTCTGATATTGGGTATGATAGACAGCTGCCCAAGTTGACAGAAGTCACTATATCTATGGATTCCAATGTTTAAACTCCAGTATGTACAATATTTCCTTTTCTCTCTCCTAAATTTTTCATGACACAGCTCTACTACATTCTAGTAATTTAAAAAGACTCTCCCCATCTACTTTCTCTATATCAGGGGTCCCCAAACTTTTCACACGGAGGGCCGCATAATATATTTTTGAGGGCTGAAGGAATGCATGCATATGTGTGTGAACCCCCCTCCCATATGCATGTACTCTCCCACACACACACTCACTCCCGCCTGCCCTGCATGGGCCAGATAAAAAGGACAGGCAGGGAGACCCCTGCTCTATATCATGCCTAATTGTATACATAATTTTACAAAGGGTGAGGTTAATTCCCTTAATGACTTTTTAAAAATACTCTCAAATACTCATTGTGATCTGAGTCAACAGGGACAATTGTTCATGACTCTTGATCACTTTGATGGCCTTTCCTGGCTCTGCACTCTGAGACATTAGTACAATATATTCAATAATATGAACAATTTGAGTCAAAGAACAATCTTCTAAGAAATGGGTGCAAAAGCAGGAAGAATTCAGAACACAAATATATCACTTAAATAGGAAGAAAAACTCAACAGAACAATTCTACTGCATATGTAGTTATATTTACTATTTAATTCATGGCTAACAATGAGGAAGGAGCCCCTGTATGTGAATCTAATTGTATGTATACAGGGCTGCTCCATTAAAGTCAGAACCTCAACATGTTCCGATTCATTCTCAACTAGGAATGTCAAAGAGTAACAAAACCATCCCCTCCCTCAGTTTTCATCACATTTAATACAAGAAACACCTCATTCGGCACTGTAAAAAACAACAGGATGCTTTTACCACAGTTTTGTCTTTCAGTTGCATTGAAGATTTAAAAGCTACAGTCGGAAATTCGTTATTTAAATAATTCAACCACTTCTCCAGGTTCTCTTTTGGTATCAGATCTGCAGAAAACAAAGAAAAAGGAATACTACTGTACATAAACCACACAGGAATCAAATCCTAATGATGACGAGACATGGTCTCTAAGAGAACTATAAAATGGCTATCCACATTAAGCCCGCTGCAGAAAATTCATTATAGTACAACAAACAGCTCTTTAGTATTCTCCTAGGTCAGTGGTGGAGAACCTTTTTGGGCTCGCGTGCCCAAACGGGGAAAAGAAGAAGAAAAACGGGGTGGTGTGACGCAGCAGCGGATCCAGAAATGGCAGCGGAGGGGGGAATCCCGGCACGAAGGTGCCTCGAGACCCCACTCCAGATCCGTCACCAGTACCAGCTGCTCAGGATCCTGACCCACCACCTGTCCGGGCAATAGCACCGTGGTTGCACCTGCTTGCTCAGGTTTAGCTGCGAGGGGGGGAGGGGGGAGGAGCGATGTGGCGACTTATGGCTCATGTTCTAGGAGAAAGGGCTCCGTGTGCC